CTTCCTTCAATCCATTCCACTTCAACTAACTTTTCAAGCTATTTTTCACAGTTCCTCAATTCAACTCGAATGTAAGTTCATAATCACCATTAGAGTCAAAATCAGTATCAAATGAATTTCACTCGTTTATTCACTGTGAACATGGAAATCTTAATACAAGCGTGTATTATAGATGCTCAGACCTCTTTTGCATCAATTATTCACTTTTATATCGCCGTAGAATTCATATAGCCATAGTTCTTGACAAGAAATATGAGCTACGTGAGGATACATTCTACAACGAGAATTCTCTGGTTTCTTAACGATAAATGTTCAAATCAAGCGACAATGAGGGAACTTTTTCAGTGTTTACGTTCATTAGAGTTCAGTCCGTTCTAATGCATGTTTTTGAATGTTTTTTTCGTATTTATCGAACAGAACCGGAATTCAGCATAACATTAAACGTCGAATGCAACTCGTTTCAGTGAATCGGTAAAAGTAAATATCGAGTTTTACTTGCGTGTAAACTACGTCCATATATGCGTAGGGAGGCAATACAGTCCCCTGTTTAGTTTAGATTTCAGAATGCAGTATCCTTACGAGCATCAGCAAGAAATGCGAACGTTCGATCAAGAGCAGTCAATGATTGTCGACGATATCTATGATGATTCCTCACAGTCCAGAACGGTGATGATAACACAGGCATTCGGAAACGGCTTTTTCGCTACGTTGTTCTTTCTACTATTCCTTTACTTTCTGGCACGGTTGGTTAATCCGGTTCATTCATTTCATGTTATATGAATAGTAACACCTGTTAACGAATGACCACTTTCTGTCTTCTCAACGTAACTGCTTCAAACTGCATTTGGCAGACTGCAAAATAACCGAATACAGAGAAGCAACTTCAAAAGTAATCTGAGCGAGGTTGCTTTTTGAGCAATGAGGCTTGCTTTTTTCGAAGGCGGGCGATTAATTGAAAGAGACTCTAGTTAGTTGCGCATGAATCCAAAATCCTCTTCAAAATAATCAGTCATTCTAGACGAAGTTAAACCACTGACTTCAGAGAGTTGAATGAAATGCTACAAATGAAATTTTTGACTGCTCTGAGTTGTGCTGAGACGAATTTAGTATCACGAAAAACTGTATTTGAAAATATTTGTGAAAATATTTTGTTTTTGATGACTTCTTTCGGTTTTTCAAGGAGTCATCAGACGATTTATCTGATTGTGAGTGTATCCGTTTGCCTATTTGAGGGGTATTTATTGATTGATTGAGTGAGTGATTGATTGATAAATGTTTTGTTATTGACATAGTGTGCGATCATAGCCTTTCAGCATTTCAATGACATTCAGAATAAAGAAGAGAATAGGAAGAGTTGATCATTGAGTGCGAGCGACACAATTATGATTGATGATGTTCACAGATCTTATGAACAAGATCTTAAGACGCGATTAAAACTGCCCTCTGATAGTATCACTATTCTTGTACTCACACATTCACTGATTATTCATTATAGCGACTAACGTGAACAACAAATGTAAATTATTGCATGAGTACATGACCAAATTTATCATTTCTGATTAGGTGACAGCAGCTATTTAGTTGATGAAAATTCCTTACAACTCTCGTTTAGTTCATCACTCTTCATCAAATTATTCACTGACATTCGATAGTTTACTACAAATTATTAGGTATTATTACTTATTATAAACTAATTATGATCATGAACTATTAATTCTAAATAGTTCGTGATCAATTCGTGACCGTTGTTGTGAATTCATATCCCATGATTATACGGCTACTTCGTGAAGTTTATGACAGTAGGAAGGATTGGATGAAGGTGCTGATGGCAAGAATAAAAACCTAGCTTGAAAATCCTCAACTTTATTAAATCCATTCGGTTTTTTCGATTCATATGTTTGGTCTAGGAGGAATGTTGAGCTTTCGTTGAGTGGAAAAAAGGAAGCAATTCATATCATTAGGAACGATCCGATTGGAAGAATGTATTCTCGAAAAAGTTTGAAAAATTGTTTCGAAACTTGTATTCGATCTTTCAGATATATCAAAAAACATATCCTAATTGGAGACGATTCATCAACAGCAACTGTGGAAAATGGTCGCTGCCCACAATATGAAGCACCACCACCGTCTTATGAGGTCAACACAACGTTCACAATTTCTCTTTCGCATCCGCTAGCCTCCTCATCCTTACCCATTCCTTTTCATAACTTTCACGGCCAAGTATGACAAATATTCGTACAGTTCAAAAACATTGTCCTATTTCCGTCCTATCAATGAGAAATAAGCTGCATACACTTATGTACTGCGCAAAATTTTGTTAGCATTGGAAATCTAATGGAATTTCAACTAACACTTTACGACCATCTAAATTCTCAAACGGATTTCATCACGACGATAATAAAAATGTTTTGTGCTAAGTTTTCGGAATCGCAAAACACAACTAAGTTTCCGTGAAGAGAGTTGTGAATTGCTATAAGCTTGAAATAGGGTATTGCTTTTAGGATGTAATGAAAAATCGTCAAATCAACATACTCTGAGTTGGAAGATCCATTTCGGCACCAGATACTTTGTGCATTTCGACGAACCATTGAAGCAAACGTCCGCCTATTCGGTGGAGTTCATCTTCGTTACATTCTGAAGTGCTTGAAATGAATATATTGTAAATTAAGCATTGTCTCATTTTCATTACGGGATTTCTTTCATGTGATGCTCAATTCAGTTTACAACAACTCGATGCTTTCTTTTTGAATTCAAATTCAAATCAATCAGTAAGTAATTTACAAACGGAACGCTAACAGTTCAGCACATTCTCCTAAAAGCATAATAAAGCGAACATGAGTTTATCTGCAGTCAAACTTCTGCAAACGATTCGTCTCATTTATTTGCTCTAAATAACAAAAGCAACGAGTTGTTGAGAAATTCTTTTGGTATGTTTTTAATTGATTTCTTTTTCCAACGTTTTTTCATTGCTCCTGAATTGTCTGTCGTACAGTTCTATGTAATCAACCATAGAAAAGTGATGAGAGCTGAAGTATTTTCTGTTTCATCCGAAAATTCAGTGTACCTGTTTTCGGTTGCTCGTTATGTTCATAATGTCTTGGCATATGCGCATGATTAGCTTGATGGCCCGATTTCTTGTGAGTCGTTGATTTGAAGCGTTCCTTTTCCTGCATAAAACAAGCGATTCAATTAATTCTTACGATACCATTACTACCTCATATGTACATAATTTTTTTCACTCTTGTCAGTTCCTCATTCCTAATGATCGACGAATACCAAGTTCACCGTAAATAAATACAGGCCAATGCGTGAAGACTCTTCGCAAAAGGTTTCTGCTAAACATGCGATGAGATTTAAAAATATTGAACATCGATAGTATCATGAGGGATCAAAACTGAAATTGTTCTTAAATGACTTCACATATGCGTATATGTTAGCCGTATACGCATAGAAACACCATTCTTTTTGATGATTGAATCGAATTATTCAATGCATTATTTCAGTTATCTTTTAATTTCTAAAGCTCAAGTCATTGTATCATTATCATAAATGGAATAAATTATTATTATGAAAATGTGCCGAAGAAAACTACGGAACACTTACTTCTCCAGTGTGTTCGATTACCTTCCCTGTGACTGAATCAATATGTTCTCCTTCCCTGAAAGTTCAGAAAACAAGTTGCTTTTTGACGATTGTTCTCCAATTGTCTCTAGATGTTGCACACAGAACAATTCGTGCAATATTCCGGTTCCCACGTGAAGAATCTTGGCTTCCGATCATTAATACCCCATTCAAATGTGTTTTGTTGTGTACATAGCAAAAACTACAACAGATAGTTCTTTTGGGTGCGGACTGAATTTCAGACAGAAGATGTTGTTCGTTGAACAACATTCTGGAGGATTTCCATGAAAAAACACCATCCTCATACAAATCAAAATTGTGAAATGAAAACGAACA